CCGACCCGCCAACAACAGAAGCGATCCACCAACAATGCCAGCACAATCGATAAGATCTTTAAGGTTAACGCCCTCGCGCGGAAGAGGAATATGAGGAATTGGTTTACTGGTTTATTGGTTCATTGGTGCTGGAAGGTGGAGGTACGTTTGGACCCCTCCCTGCAGCCGTCTTCGTTGGCCGAGGGGCTGCAGGGAGGTCCTCGGCCCCCTCTGGTGGCAATGTGGCAATTGACGCCCTCATGAAAAGTTGAAATAATGGGAGTGGGGACCCACGCGACCCCATTGATGGAAGTTGCGCGGGGTGTGAGGCCTATTGACGGTCCTCACAGGCGAGGCCTAATGACGGTCCTCGCCAGGGGGGAAGTGGGGAGGAGCGATGATGTTCAGGATGTCGTCGCCCTCCTTGGCGCACCGTCCTTTCGGGAACGCCTGGAATTGGCGGCCTGAACGTCCACCAAGGATTGCCATAGTCCCCCTCCGCCCCCCCGAACGGGGGGACGGGGGGAGAGGACGTGGGACAGGGGAGCATCGGCATAGCATCGGCATGAGTAGTCAGCAGTGGCTCAAGACCCCCCCCCTTTTTGCCACGCCCCCTTTTGTCAGTAGCGTTGCTGGGGGATGCCAGCCCATCCTCGGATGTCAGAGCTTCTCCCATACCATACAGGCGGCAGAGCTTGCAGCTACAAGAGATTGGCTACCGCCCCCGGGGGGCACGATTTGTTAACACCACCGGGGGGCACGATTTGTTAACACCACCCGTGACACGGCTTTGGTCCCCTGGATAAGCCAGTGTCCACCTCTGTCCCGGCCGCGTGGCCGATGACGTGTCCTGACGGCTCCCGGAAGAGTGCGTGCACCTGGAAGGGAAGACGAGAAACCTGGCAGGGATCAAACGCACACTGTCGATACTTGAGCCGGGAAGTCGGGTTCAGGTGTGACCGAAACGTTGGGAGGGAGGGGAGGGAAAAGAGGAGGGAGGAGGAAAAAGAGGAAGGGGAGGGGAAGCAAGAGCGAGAGAGAGAGAGAGAGAGAGAGAACGAAAAGCAAGGAGGGAAGGGAAGGGAAGGAGCCAAACGGGGAAGAAAGACAGGGGGGGACAGGGGCCGGGGAAGTTAGAAGGCGTAGTAGAAAAAGGCCAAGGACCGCATTTGTTTGGCTCAAGGTGAATAAGCACAGGTAAACAACTTTTTTATATTTGTTTTGTTCGCATTCCCGTCCTTGAAGAGCTCGGCTAATGGGTGGGGGGCGGGCCCGACCGCATGAGTGACACCGCGGCGGCACATGTGACACCGCGGCGGCGCGGGTCGGGCCATCACCCTTGGTGTATTGGTGTACTGATGGGCGCATGACGCCATAAGGTAAAATGGTGTACTGGCATTGACAGGCACCGTCAGCCGGCAGGGGATAAATCCCGTTCACGGCCCCAACGAGGAATGTGAGGAATTGGTTTACTGGTTTATTGGTTCATTGGTGCTGGAAGGTGGAGGTACGTTTGGACCCCTCCCTGCAGCCGTCTTCGTTGGCCGAGGGGCTGCAGGGAGGTCCTCGGCCCCCTCTGGTGGCAATTGACGCCCTCATGAAAAGTTGAAATAATGGGAGTGGGGACCCACGCAACATCACGCAACCCCATTGATGGAAGTTGCGCGGGGTGTGGGGCCTATTGACGGTCCTCACAGGCGAGGCCTAATGACGGTCCTCGCCGGGGGGGAAGTGGGGAGGAGCGATGATGTTCAGGATGTCGTCGCCCTCCTTGGCGCACCGTCCTTTCGGGAACGCCTGGAATTGGCGGCCTGAACGTCCACCAAGGATTGCCATAGTCCCCCCCCGCCCCCCCCGAACGGGGGGACGGGGGGAGAGGACGTGGGACAGGGGAGCATCGGCATAGCATCGGCATGAATAGTCAGCAGTGGCTCAAGACCCCCCCCCTTTTTGCCACGCCCCCTTTTGTCAGTAGCGTTGCTGGGGGATGCCAGCCCATCCTCGGATGTCAGAGCTTCTCCCATACCATACAGGCGGCAGAGCTTGCAGCTACAAGAGATTGGCTACCGCCCCCGGGGGGCACGATTTGTTAACACCACCGGGGGGCACGATTTGTTAACACCACCCGTGACACGGCTTTGGTCCCCTGGATAAGCCAGTGTCCACCTCTGTCCCGGCCGCGTGGCCGATGACGTGTCCTGACGGCTCCTGGAAGAGTGCGTGCGCCTGGTGCGGGGGTGCTTACCGTAAGGGGCTGGCACCAGGCAGCCGAGCAACATACGACGAGCTCGTGCACACCGATCTGCGACCATCGGAATTATCGGAACAGCTCCCAGCAGCACTGGACGACATCGTCTCCGACAATGCTGCCGACCTTGACTCGGATACTTTTGCTTCAGTTCTCCGGCAGACCAGGCGGGGCCTGAGTGGCGGCTTGTGGGGGAGCCCGTACGAGCACTGATTGCTTTGCTGGGAAGACGACGCAGCATGCGAAGCCTCATATGAAATTGCCAACCGTTTAGCGAAGGCCGAAATCCCGCTTATTATCAGAGACGTTATGCTAATTTCATCTCTCACGGCCATAGTGAAGCCCAACTCACGCGTCCGGGGGATCTCAAGCGGCGATGCATTTCGACGCTTGGTTGCGAAGACGCCTTGCAAAACAGCTTCAGCAACAGCTCCAAACGACAATCTGGTCCAACAACTTCGAAATCCAAGACCGCTGCGGAACAGATGCGGCAATACATCTCCTTCAATACCTATCCGATTGCGACCCCGACAAGGTGATACTCAGCATTGATGGGGTGGGGGCATTCGATCACGTTCGCCGAGCCCGCATGTCGGAGGAGATGCTGGCGGACGCGTCCCTACATGGCCTGATCCCGTTCGTCAAACAATGGTATGGCGTGCAATCGCGCTTCAAAAGGAAAGATGACCAAAATCAGGTGCGCGGCATTTTCCAAGCGGATGGGGCGAACAAGGCGACGCTTTAATGCCCGCACTGTTCTGTCTCGCTCTCGGCCCTGCATTGCGCCGCATCCGGGCAGAATTACCACGTGGATCAGAGATTCTTGCATATCTGGATGATAAATTTTGCCACCCTGAGGACACCGCCACCATCCACGATAACGTGCAAACTGTCCTCTCATAAATTTATGATATCGACGTGAAAATCGGAAACCTCGCCGCCTGGAGCAAGAACCGGAACCCATGCCCGCCAGGACTACACGACAGGGCACCAAGAGCATAGGTTCACGATAAGCCGGAGGAAGACCGAGGTATCCGCATCCTGGGTGCACCGTTTGGCACGGACGCTTATATTACCGCACTTGGTGACGCGCAAGCGGAGGAGAAGGCGAAGCTACAACGCATTTTACCCGAGCTCCCTTCTTTGCAAACTGCGTGGCTCCTACTGCATTTTTGCGGCGTCCCACGGCTGAACCACCTACTACGTACTGCAACTCTGGCCCAATGCCGCAGTGCGGCTACGACGCACGACGCCCACGTCATCGACACTTCCGACTCCTGTTCGCGATACTGGATGCAACGGCGTGGGATACTGCATTGCACGGCATATCGTATGAAAATTGGGGGGCACCAGCCAAACTTCCACTACGCTTGGCAGGCATGGGGCTCCGCGATTCGCAACGACTCGCCCCAGCCGCATACTGGGCGAGCTGGGCCGATTTCTTACATGGATTGGTCACTGGGTTCCTGGCTGTGGGGTAAAATATCCTCTTGGGTGTTGCTAGAAGTGCCGAGGCCCAAGGTGCCCCCAGGATCCTCGGGGTGGCCCAGACGGCCTCCAGAGCACCCCTCACGAGGCCCAGAGGGCCCCAGTGGCTCCAAAATGGTGCGAAAAGCTGGGGGCACCTTGGGCCAGGGGCACTTCTAGCAACACCCGATCCTCAATCATCTCAGAGCGCTCCGCACTGTACGGAGAAACGAATTCTCCAACTGCCCCGCGTGCCTGGCGGCGGCGGAAGCAGCAGGACGACAATGCGACGCCGCAAGACGGACGGCCAAGCCGAGCTGGGAAGACCTGGCCGCGGGATGCCGAACCCCAGAACTACCGCAAAAACCGACAACGCTCGGGGAATGGACCCACGGATGGCAATACCATGCGTCTTACAAATTGGAACGTGCTGCCCACCTTTCCCTCATGGCTACGCTCGGGGGCGGGCCCGGAGCCCGGCGCAACGCAGCTACTACTGCCAAAGCGCGGGTGAGGTCATGCATGGGGGCCTGCGCTGCTTCGTGGCTTACCGTGAGCCCGACTACGGACCTACTGGGGCTCCACAACGCGCATAAGGCGTGTGCAATGCGACGGAAGCTGAGGATTGGTGCGAAGGCGGGGATCCGCACGGACACGCGAAGTTAACGAAGAACAGCAATGCTAGGCTCAACTCGCGCCATACATGGAGGGTTTCGGCGTGGCGGCAGATCTTCCCGGAGGCGAGGGGGTTAATCCCTGACCGTAATGTCGAACGAAGGTTAAGCCACACGCACATCCTAATACCACAGGGCGACACGCGGCGCTTGGTTCTAGTTGTCCCTTGCTTGAGCGTGGCACGAGGGCTGCCCCTCTTCTGCGACGTCACAGTGGTGTCCCCTATTGCGGGAAATGGGAGGCCCCGAACTGGGACAAGCAACAGGGAGGTTACTCGAACTATCTGAGCGCGAGAACAACAACACCCACCACGAAGTCCTTACTCCTGGCCTAGGGTCGCTGCAATGCTTAGGTTGCGAAGTATTTGGCCGATGGGGGCAACAAGCAACGAATCTGGTCCCAGCACTCGCTCGAGAACGATGCCGCGACTTACCAGCACGCATACGCCGTGGTACATATCGCATTCGTTTCCGCATGTTGCGTCTCCCATTTAAGGAACAACTGAAACGGGGGAACGATAACGGGTATCCCGTGACATGTATATCCTGGCTTTCCTTTTTCCGGCTTTCCTTGGTTTTGCAATGGTTTGCTCTGTCTGTCAAGTTTCTTATTGCTGGGTGTCTATCAAGGAATTGACTTTCTCAGCTTGCCGTTAGCTTCTGCGTCTCAGACTTGTGATGTGTTATGCTACTTCATCTTCCCAGTTTCACGTTTGTTCGTTTTTCTCTCTGTACTCCCCCGAGGGCGCCTTGCTGTCCGAACTTTTCGCGCCTTTTGTGCACTTCGTGTTTTGTTGCACTTTTCGCGCGCCCTTCTAACACTTCGCGCTCTTCGGCCTCTAGTGCGCCTCGCTGCTCTCAGTTTTCGATTGTTCCACTTTTCGCAGTTTTCGCACTTCCAACGCTTCGCACTTTTCTCGCTTTTCGCGCTCTTCTATTTTTCGCGCTTTTCGCGCTTCGTACTTTTGATATTTTCACACTTTTCTCATTTTCGTGGCGCTGCCTGGATACCAAGACCCAGATCTAAGCAACACCCCCCCCGTCAGGGATGCCACCGGGGCCGTGTACACCAAAAATGCCGCCAGGACGGCGGACGGCCTCCCGGAGCTGATGACACGGAAAGGCGGCCTGGCGGCCCTGCACGCGCCAGTGGCCACCAACGGCCCCGCAGCCATTCCCGGAAACTCGCCGCCCCGCTCTGGGCCGAGGGAACGCCCCCTTCACCACGGCGAGGCGGCCCACGACGGCCCGCACCCCGGCCGCAAGGAGACCCTCGCGGCGCCCGCGGGCCCGGATCTCGGAGGCGAAGGGAACTACCCCAGCGGGCCCACACATTTCCATGTTCCTACTCCTTTTCTTCCTCCTCCTCCTCCTTTTTTTTTTTTTCTCCTTCTCCTCTCCTTTTCCCCCTCGTGCCCCCGCCTCCTCATCCTCTTCCCCCTCCCCGTGCATCAACCTGGGCATGCGTCAGTGCGCGCGTCAGTCAGACACAGCTTGGCCATGCCATGAACCTGGGGCAGGACTGGTAATGCGTGAACGTATCTTGGCTGCGGGTACATCCTAGCACACTTCAGAAACAACAAACGCGTCGGCGGCTAGGCAGAATAACGGCGCTGGCGGAGAACTAACTATACGGGGGCACCTTTGTAGCGAATTGTGCCACAACGCAAGAGAAAGGGACAATGGGAGGGCGGGCGGCCGGAGGTAAGGGGGAAAGGCGAGGGCCGCTCAGGGGGGCGGGCCACGTCTGGAGCGAGTGCCGCGGCCGGCCCCGCCGGCGGAGACAGCGGCGGCTGCTGCGCCGGGGTTCCAGCGGCGGCGGGGCGCAGTGCAGGTATCTGAACGAGTCCAGCGAGGCAGATGTGCGATGCAATCAGTGCCTGGGTCATCAAGCGGTGGCTGCGCGTTCCCCGGGTGGGGGCCCACCCGGCCCGGGCGGACAATGTGGAACTTGAGTCGTAGAGCTTTCCTCAGAGCGAAGCGGCGAAGCTACAGAGTAATACCTCGTAGAGCTCTTCGGCATCGATGAGCTAGAGGAATTCCGGCGCGGGCTGCAGCTAGTTGACCCACCTGGCCCCGGCGAACAATGTGGTGACCTGGGGTCGGTTTTTGGACGATTGTGAAAGATTGGACAATTCGTTCTGGAAATCTAATTTTTTTTCCCCTGCAGGGGCGTGTCCAGCAAAAAGCTGGGCCGGCGGAGGCGGCGGGCAGCAAGACCACAGCCGGGGCCCCAGCGCGGCGGCTGCAGGCAGCCACCCAGCGCCATGGCGGCGCGCGGAGGGAGGGAGAGCGAGCGGGGAGGGCAGAAGCAATCAGGGAGGAGGACGCCCCGCCTGCAGGAAACCCACAATCGGAGTGGCGGCGCCATGCGGTAGCGGCGGCACTAGGCTGCACCGCGCGCTGCGCTGAGGGAGAAATGGGGGGAAAGAAAAGCACGCTGCCCACCAACCAGCGGGTGACTCGCGAGGGGCACCCGCTACCCGGGTGGACAGGGTGAACCAGCCCGCGAGCGGGGCGGCAGGGGGGGCAGGTAACCGGCGGCGGCGCCCAGCGATGCGAGGGAAGGGGGGCGCCTCACCGGTGCGAGGCGATGGAAATGTGAGAAGCGGCCCCCCTGCCCGGGTGGACAGGGTGGGCCTGGGGGGGGCAAAGGCGGCCGCCGGCGTCTGGGTAGACAGCAGTGAACGCGCCCTGGCCAATCAAAACTGCGGCCGAAGCCAGTGCCCCCAGCCCAAGCGGGCGAGGGGGGCAAGCAAGGGGGGGCGACGAATTGGCGCGCCACTGCCGTCAGCATCATAGCTCCTTCCCGCAGCGACTGAGTCGCGGGGCGCAGCTGAAAGATCTTCTTCTGTATCTAATGGCCCCGCGTCGACTGAGTCGCGCGTTTCGGCTGATAACCAGTCTTTCCTCTGAGAATCGGGGTAATATGACAAAGGAATTAAGATGTCATGTTCACTCTGCTCAGGGAGAGAGGGGACGGGATGAGACATTGATAAGACAAGTATCCGTTAAGCAAGACTACTCTATCAGGAATGTGAAGGGAGGAGGTCGGCCGAGGGACGGACGACGACGAGCCGCCCGCGCGCCCCAGCGCGCTCCTTTTCTCTCCTGCCAGCCGAGGTCGGCTGGCTCGAGCAGTCGTATGGCTGCGGAAACGCAGCTTCAGTTCAAGCGGACAGTGCAATGCATGCAAACTAAGTTAAGTTCAAATTGGATATGAGGCGAGGAGGAACATATTTACTAAAACTGTGGCCGAAGCCATGCGCCCTCAGCCCGAGCGGGCATATAGGGGCAAGGGCCAAGCGCGAAACCACCGGGCAGGAAAGGCACAGAACGGAGGCGGCGTGCCGCCGGATGGGCAGCGCGCCGCAGGGCGGCCAGGGGAGGGAGGGGGGGGGAAAAGCACGGAAGGGCCGCGCACCGCCGGGCAGGCAGGCGCGCGGCAGGAATCGCCGTAGGCTCACAAACGGACGGAGTCAACCGGTGCTGGGCGTATGCTTAGTGCGTCGCTTGCCCTTGCCTGCCTGGGGGCGTCGGAGTCTCTCTCCCTGCCGCGAACGCTCTCGAAGGGGGCGCGGCTAACAGGAGTCCGACTGTTTGCCGCGCAGGTTTTCGTCCGAGTGCTCACGCTTGCGCGCTCGTGGGGGCAGGTGGAGTTGGGAGGGCAGCCCCCTTGTCCAGGTGGACATGGTGGGCCGCCAGGGCGCCAAGGCAGCCCCTCGCCGCCTGGGTAGACGACAAGGTGCGCTCCGAGGCCAGCCGGAATTTCGGCCGGAGCCTGTGGCCCTCAGCCCAGATGGGCAGAGCGAGCCTCGGGTTATAGCGCCTAACCGGTGCACGTCCGTGGGCGAGAGTTAACCGTGCTGGCAAGCACTGCCCGGAACTAACCGTGCTGGCAGGCACTGCCCGGAAAGCAGCGTTCCACCACAGGGTGGGCGGCGGGCGGAGCGGGAGACGTGCGGGCACGAGCCGCACGTCGCCCGGCGGGGTGCCCAGTGTGGAGAAGCACGGCCCAGAGGGAAGTACATGTCGCTGGCGGCAGCAGCGTGCGCCCTGGCGCCTGGCACAGCCGCAGCCGCTGACCAGGCAGCGGCACCCGCAAACCCCGAGCAGCCGCCCCGAGGCCTCGAGCAGGCGGCAGGCGGCCTGGGCGACCAGCCCCAGCTGGGCCCAGGGTCAGCCAGCTGGCCCGGCTCGACGAGGTCGTCCGCGTCGACGTGGCTGTAGGTGTCGAGGTGCAGCGCGTACTCGCGCCCAGGTCCTGGCACGGGGCCTCGCGGCACAGGTGGAGCCTCTCGGTCGGGGACTCCTCCTCCTCCTCCTCCTCCAGGTAGCGTCTGAGGCGACCCGACGTCGAGACCCGGACCGTCTCGCAATCGCAGATGAGGCCCGACGCTCGAGCTCTGGCTCCAGCCTTCGGTTCCTGGCTGACGCGTGCGGCCTGCCCCTCCACGACGGAGATCTAGTGGCGAGAGTGGCCGTTGGCCCCTCGGGCTCGAACTCCGCTGCACCTCGCGTTGTCCACGGGCCGCGAAGTTCCCGGCCCGTCCAGCTCCGGCGGCGGCGGTGGGGGGTGGCCAGGCGGCGGGGGGCGGCAGCGGCGCCCGCAGCACCCGACGCGCGCTCGAACAAAGCTGACCAAAAGGGCGTCGACCGCGACGGCGAAATCCAGACAGCCCCGGCCTCCGATCGACATGCAAAGGCATTCCATTGTCACCAGGGCCGATCGTCCAGACGATCGGCGCGCATTCTCCCCCTCCTCCTCCTCCTCCTCCTCCTCCTCCTCCTCCTCCTCCTCCTCCTCCTCCTCCTCCTCCTCCTCCCTCCTCCTCGTTCTCCTCCTCCTCCTCCTCCTCCTCCTCCTTTTCCTCCCCCTCTTCCTTTTCATTATCCTCCTCCTCCTCCTCCTTCCTCTCTCCCCCCATTTCTCCTCCTCGTCATCCTCACATTTCTATACATTTCTCCTCCTCCTCCTCCTCCTAGTCGCCGTTGTCCTGTTGTGCCTCCTCCCCTCTCCATTTCCTCCTCCCCGCCTGGAGGGCACGACGGCGCGAGGGGGAGCAGAGGGGCCCGAAACATCAAGGAAACACATCGTCGGAAGTCGGAGACCTGGGGGGAGGTCGACTGCACCCCCGCGGGTGCGGCGGAGGTCTCCAGATGCCGGCTACACCCAGGGAGTGGCCCTGGGCAACAATGGCTTTCGGTGCGCGGTTCTGTGGACCCGCGCGGGGGCCAAACCCAGGCGCACAAGCCAATGCTGGCGTGGCTCCGCTGCGGGCCCGCACCGAAAGCCACTCCGGCGGAGGGCCCCCCTCCGACGCGTAGCCGAGGATGCCCCCCCGCGGCGAAGCCCCCGCAGGCGCCCCCTGGCGCCGGCTGCCTTGGGCGTCCATTCGGGGGGGGGAGGGGGCACTAAAGTGGGGGGAGAAGCGAGCACCTCTCCTGCCCCTTCTGGGCCCCAGGAGGAACCCCTTCGGGCACATCAGGTGCACCGTTCCCCACCGCCCCATGCATCGCACCTCCATTTCTGGGGAAGCCCAGAAAAGCTACCAACACCGCTACACCAATACCGCTACTCCCTCTGACCAGGATCTCGAGGCGAACCCAGCGGTGGCGACGAGGTCCCCCCAGGAGGCCTCAAAAGGCGAAAACGAGGCAAGTGTAGCGGTACGGGTATCTTTTCCTCCTCTGATTTGCTGTGAGGTGGGGCGTGTCCTCCTACGGGCGGATTTCGGAAGAAAACATCAACTGGGATAGAAAATATCCAGAACCAGTCCAAAAAGCACTGAACATCGTCGCCCGACTATTTTCGAACTCTTCTTGAAGATCCCTCCTGCAGAAGGACACGCCCGACCTAACATTACGGAGCGCCCAGCTGCCCCCAGGAGCCGCCAGCTGGCCAGGAGCCACCGCCCGCGCACGCCAGCGGCACCGCCGTGGCGCAGCCACCAGCGTGCCAGGAGCCGCTGGCGCAGCTCGCAGAGGGCTGGGGCGCCCCCTGCAGGGGACCGCCAGCGCAGCTAGCCGATGGCTGCGCCCCAGCGTGCCTGGGACGACGACGACGACGACGACGACGACGACGACGACGACGACGACGACGACGACGACGACGACGACGACGACGACGACGACGGCGGCGGCGGCGGCGGCGGCGGCGGCGGCGGTGGCGGCGGCGACGGCGGCGAGGGCCGACTCACGGCCGCTGGGATGTCATGATGCGACACTGGCTGAGGAAGGAAGAGTGGGCCACCAACAAGGAGGAAGGCACACAGGGGCCACCAGTGCGGCCCGCCGATGGCTGTGCCCCGGCGTGCCTGGGCCTTGGCGGCGCGTACAAGGAGGCATGGGGGAGGGTGGAAGGCTTCTTAAAAGGAGGTTGCTTCTTGGAAGGCGCGGCCCTTGTCTATAGATGCAGGGCCGGCGCCTTCCAAGAAGCATCCTCCTTCTGAAAAGCCTTCCCACCTCCCCCTACCCCCTCGTGCGTGCTGCCAAGACGGGGAACGGCGGCGACCAGCGTCGAGGGCCGACTCGCGACCGCTGTGGTGTCATGATGCATCACTTGCTGGGGTGGAGAATGTGGGCTATCATCAAGGAGGGCATACAGTGGGAGACCGAGAGGGCCAACCACAACCACGACGAGTACCCGGAGGCAATGCAGAGGGAGCAGAGCTCAAGAAGGCAGTGGAAGAAGCCGAGATGCTAAACGACATGTGCGCCGAAGGTCAGAGGGAGGGATTCTGGAGCCCTCGTCCTGGAGCCATGCAAAACCATTGGAAATCTTTACTTTAGAGATCCAGGAAATCTTAGAAACATTGGACCGTATCATCACGGCAGCCTCGTGTCGTGCCGCCTTCGGCGTTGGTTTCTGACAGCACAATTCAACCTTGAACGATCGGCCGTTCCCGAAGCGCACGATCGTTCAACATCGACCGTTCCTGGGTCGCAAGCGGCGTTCCACGCTGAAGGCCAACGGCGGGGCCGCCGCCGGCCGACGCGACGCGACCGACCGTATCATGACTTCTTGCTCCTCTGGACTGGGCTGTTACCTTTTTCGACCTAGCTGTCAAGGCTCTCCCATGCTCTGCCTGGCCGGAACTACCGACCAGCACCCCGTGTGCAGTACAGTGAGCCTGGGGTGCTGGAAGCGCTGCAGAGTCTTACACGTTGACAGCTTGCGCAGCAGACATCCCATGACGATGCAGTGCCGACCGCATCATGACTTCCTGCTCCTCCTCCTCCTCCTCCTCCTCCTCCTCGCTCCTCCTCCTCCTCCGAGTGCCAGGAGCTGGCCGACGGCCCGCCGTGCGGGGGCTGCTCGCGCCAGTGTGCCAGCTGCACGCCGGGCGGCGCCGGCTCCGGGGCGGCGCCCGCGGCAGGCCACGGCCGGGCGTGAGACCACCGGGTCGTGGCGAAGCTCGCCAGGGAGCCCGCGCCGCTGGCCAGGCTGGCAAGCCCAACGAACAAGTAGCCCCAGTCCACGCTCAGAACCGAATAGTTTTCTTTGTCCAGCAGAACGTTGAAAACGAAGAGGAAGCCGACCGCGGCGTAGACGGCTTTTGAAGCAGCGAAAGGCCAATACCGGAAGGAAACAGAACAGCATAAACTTAAGCATGAACTTTCAGAGGTCCGCGCGGGTTTCTTAGATCGGCGTTGGCCACCCTTCCTGGCGCGCGGAGCGCACCAAAGGCGGCACCACAGGCGCCGCCAGGAGGGTCAAAACCAATACAAGAAATCCACCCGGGCCTTCGAAAATTTAAGGTAACCGTTTTCTCACCTTCGGAATACATGACGTCCCATGGCTCGCCGGTCATGAAGCCTGGGAGGGCAACAACACTAATCATCAATGACGCGCTGCCCTGGGCATCCATCAACGTGTTACTACTGAACACCATCCGAGTTTTCAAACAAAAACGACGGACTGACACGCTGACGGGCCCCCAACGTCGGCGCGTCCTTGACGCTCTTGCTCCCTCCCAGACGCCCGTGGCCAACATCCCCAATATCGCACCGATCAAGCCGACGACCCCGGCCAAGCAGCCGTACTTGCCGGAGCAATTGCCGAATGGCCCCGCGTCCCCGCCGCAGAAAGCGGCGCTCACGAGCCAGAACACGCCCGTGAAGAAATTCGGCGGTTCAGGGACGGGGCCCTAAGGAACGGGGCCTTATGGAGGAGGGGTCTCGGACCCCTTAGACTTCGAGACAACGGTATAAACGTCTCTCTCCCCCTGGGCCAGACGGTAGCGGGCGACAGCCACTAAGATTCACTGCTGTCGCATCAACTCTTTTTCGTTATGTGCATGACCACACTGCATGGCGAAATTCTTTCCAAGCCCGAGCGCTCCCGGCCAAGGCGGCGCCGCCACGGCCCAAACACTGGGCCTCCACGAGGCCAGAACGACTCTGCTAACCCCAGACCCATGCTGTGCTCTGGAGCCGCCTGAGGTGAACACTTTTTTTTTTCCTCCGATCGAACGATTCTAATGGGCTCCGCGCCGAGCCTCAATGGATTTTAGAAGCCACATCGCTATCGCGCTGGACAGCCTCTTTGGATAGGAAGCCGCGAGAACGGTTACATTTATGCCCGAGCCAGGGGCACTGCCCCGCATAATGATATGAAGTCTGAAACTGAAACTACAACATGCGCGACCCGTGCAAATTACATTCTCGTGTCGGAGCATCGGGTCGTGTCAGCCTACACATCTACTTCTCTTACGCCAGCAAGCCCCACAGGCACGCTGGTCAACGACAAGCTTCCTACAATAATGATGGCCCATCAAAACCCACATGCGCAGTTCACGCAGCGCCTTGGAAGCATGAGGGTTCTCGAGAAGGATATGGGCACGGTGCTGCATGCGCGCTCTGGCCAGCCTACAAGTGACCCTGAGAGTCAACACCCCAATTCTCAGTCGGGCAGCTTCCGCCAGCGCGGGGTCGGGAATCCCGTAAGGGCACAGTGATTGGCGGATCTGTGTGAACAACGCAAGCGTCCAGCTGCTGCCTGGGAAGGCACCGAGCACCGCCTTCGCCAGGCCAGCCTGCATCCAGCCCAGAAGAGCGCGGTTGACAACAGCGTCGGTCAAGTCGAACTCAAGTGGCGATGGCGCCTGTAACCGAAAAGCGGTCAAAATAACTCGTGTATAAGAGCAGCTCGGCGTTCCGCTAAAGTACTGCACAACCTTTCTATTTCATGTTTTGTCGTGACTGTTGCAGGGCGCGCTCTGAACAAGTGTCCCAAGTCTAGCTCGAATTATATGCAAACGCCAATTTCCATTCCCGCGCAACGATCCCCTCGGCCTCTGCGAAAAGGCTCTCACTTGCTCGCGCGCAAGCGCTTCCCGCCCAGACCTGGTGGCGGCGGCGGCCTTGCCTTCGGCAACGGCAGGGCCTGCAACATGCCGCCGACGACGCTGCCGTAGCCGCGCACCAGCTCGGGCAGGCGCTCCGGCGACCTTGGCGACTTCAACGCCTGGGCGTGCTTCTCGTGCATCTTGACTGAGGTGTCCGCTGACCGATGGCTGCGGCGTTTGATGGCCTCCGTGCTACGAGTCTGCCGCGTGGCGTCGTCGCTGGCTGCCCCGTGCCTCATCATGTGCGGGCGGAGGTTGGCCTGCCCAAGACCTGCCAGCTCGGCCGCGCGCTTGGACGGACTCGAGGACTTCCGATTGTCGAAAGAACGCACCACGTCGTGGCTTGAGCGCATCTTCAAGGTTGAGAAGCGTGGGTGCAAGCATATCAACTTGCGGCTGTCGAGGAAGAGGTTCTCGTCGAACTTCTCCGTCTTGGTCGGGGTCGGCTCCTCCTCTGGGGCCAGAGGAGGGGTCAGCTGATGCGCCCGCGGCCCCGGGCGCTCGCTCGGCCTCAAGGAAGCGCGGAAGAGGAAGATAAGGCACCGAGCAAACTCCAGCTCATTGATGTGGAGAGCAGCCCGCGCTAGCGCACGCAGCCCGATCCAGGGCAGAGGTGCGCGGCTGAGCCCTGGTGCCAGCCTCCTGAAGCCCTCCGGCGCAACCTTGGCCCTGTCCAGAGCCGTTGCGCTGCGAATGCCAGGCGCCCTGTGTTCCAGCGCGGCAATCGCCCTCTCGCCCGAGTCGTGGCTGCGGCCCTGGAGGTAGAGGTCCACGCCCGGAAGTGACGTGCTGAGCGGGGGCGTTTTCTGCGAAGGCGATAATGTAACGTATCCAATGTATTCCATTATTACATACTTGGTACATATTGTATAGTGTTACCTTATCATGTTCCCCCCGCCTTACTCCCCCGGGAGCCGCGCCACATGGCCGTGCCAAAACGCATGGGGCATCTATGATATCAGTTCCCAGGGCCCCCTGGGGCTCCACGAGGGCCTCGAGATGGCCCCAAAACGGCCCAAGACGGCCCCAGGGCGGCAAGGGATGACCAAGGGGGCCCACGCGGCCAACAAGACGGACCAAGAACGCCCCAAGAGGACCCCGAATGACTTGTCCAGAAACCCAAGTCGATGATTTCCTATGGTTTTTGACAGACTTTAGCGTTCTTGTTTTTTCCCCCCGGCTCTCCGAGGGCCGCGACGGCCCGAGCGGCCTCCAAGAGGCCCCAAGACGGCCCAAGAGGCCCCCACAGACGTCCCAGGAAGGATCCGAGGCCCCTAAGACGGCCCAAGAGGCCCTCAAGACGGCCCAAGGACCCCAAGTGAGCCCCAAGGCGACGGGGAGACGCCTCCAAGATGGCCCCCGAAGGGGCCAGGCGGCGCACGAGCGCTCCCAGACGGCCCAAGACGTGCCCAACACGCCCCAAGAGACCCCAAAGAGGCCCCGGAGAAGCCCCAATAGGCCCCCAAGAAACTTCCAAGAGGCTCCCAAGGCCCCCAGGAGGCCCCAATTGGCTCCTCCAGGAAGCCCAACCCGAGAGGCCTCGAGAAACCATGCAGGCGCCCGCGTGCTCGTATGCGATAGCACGTTCTCGAGGCGCGCCGAACGGCGCGGCCCCACAACGACATCCTTGCTGCGCGTGCTGTCCTCCGACAAGAAAGGCAAGAGAGCCAGCGACTGGACTGCGCGTCTTCTCTTCCCATGCTGTTTTTTTTCGTGGGCGCGGTCGCCGAGTGCTCCGGGCGATGGCGCGGGCACAGCAGGCGGCGAACTCGCCGATGTATGGCGATGGCTAGGGGCAGGCGAAGAAGGCGTTCTCGCCTTCTTCGGCTCTCAGGGGGCCATGGCGGCCCGAGCTACCTTCAGGAAGGCCCTGGGGCGGCCCGAGAGGCCCCCGAGGGGCCCCGAGAAATCCCGGAGGGCCCCGAGCCGGCCACGGGGGGCCTCCAAGACGGTCCAAGAGAGACCCCAAGACGGCCCAGGAGGACTGCAAGAGAGCCCCAAGGCGGCCGCGAGAGGCCTCCAAGACGGCCTCCGAACGAGCCAGACGGCGCAAGAGCGCCCCAAGACGGCCCATGACGCCCCCAAGAGGCCCAAAGGGGCCCCGCAGAAGCCCCTACGAAGCTCCCAAGAGGCTTCCCACGGGCCCCCAGGAGCCCCCACAATGACTGGACTGCACGTGCTCCGGACGTGCACCCCGCGAAGCGAGAGGAATCTCCTTGGTGCTCGAGCATCGCGGTGCTGATATCCTCCCAGGAGTTCAGCGGCAGGCTGTTGTCGCTGGCCCACGTTTGGAAATCTCGAGAGTACCTGTTGTACATCAAAGGCTGAAGGACGCGTCACCTAAACTCCGAAACTGGCGAGCTACGTCCTGGTGGGCTAGCCGCCCGCGCTTGCCTCTCTGCATTCACAGCTGGCCTGCAGGCTGGCGGCTGACCTCTGTCGCAGGTCTCCTCGGCGGCATCGGCAGGCTCATGAATGTCAGCAGCTTCTGAGATGGACCTGTCAGGATCGGAATCCTCGACCTTGCCGCCGTCGACCCAGCGGCGCCACTCGCCTGATGATCCCGGCGGGTGAGCCCAGCTGTCCGGATGCCAGTGCCCGTCGTCGAACTCGGGCGCGGCTTCTGGCTAACTGCTAGCCCTGGCGAGCAAGTCGACGGCGGGCCGGAGCGCGGCGCGCGCCTCGGCGCCGCGGGCTGCCCAAAGGGGGCGAGCGCCCCGCTGCCCGCCTCCGCCCGGCACGGGCGGCCCAGTCTTGAACCGTGAAGCGGCGTCGGCAGGATTGAACGCTGAAGGCAGCCATCGCGATGCGAAATCCGAATCCGAGGCCATGGATATAGCTGCTAGTTGACGACAGCGCCTGTTAATAATGGCATTGCTGGCTCGGCCCCCCCCCTGCGCCAAGACGAACCCCGCGCTGTCTCCCGAGAAGAGGTGGCGATGTGAGAAGTGACGAACATATCGAGGGCGATTTCTAGCAGCGGCAACAATGGCGCGACTCTCTGAATAAGTAGTGCTCTCGGCATCAAGCCGGCGGCCTCTCGCCTTCAGGCTCCAGCTGCTGAAGTCGCCGATGCTGTCGCGACGGATATCCAAAAGTTCGGGGGGTAACGCATCTGGCGGACTGTCGCCCGCGTCAGGCTCGGAATTAAGGGGCGGGGCGTCGTCGGCCAGGGCGCGCTGGCGGGCGTGAACAGGTTCCCGTCGTCGGTGACGTCGGGCGCCCTCAGAATCTAGGTGCCAAGGCCTCTTGCTGTTGGCGTAGGCAAGCGGCAGCGACGCCATCACCCAACGGAGCTCCTCTGCCACAGCTGGCCAGAAACTGGTGCGAGAACCGCCCGCGAAGTCGATGAACCTATATATGGCGAGCGGGATGCTGGGCAAGCATATCCCCGAGATGGCTGGCCAAGCGAGGTGGCCAACGATGCGACGCAGCAGCTTGCCAGAGGCGCGCCCCCCGCCCAGGATGGGCGCGATGGCCAGGCGCGCCTTCCAGCAGCGGCGGCGGCCAACGGAGATGCGGCCACTGGCCTGGTCGGGCGTCGCGCTTGGGCAGCGGGCCTCGGGCGGCCCGTGCTCAAGCTCTTTGCGCCGCGGCCCGTCGGAGGCGAGCTGAGCGCGCAACTTGCGGGCCATGTCTCCCAAGATGTCGTCAGCCGCGCCGACGACCCCAGCATTGTCCACGTAGATGGCCGCGCCGAACTCGTCGCCCGTGATATCGGGCGCCTGCTTCTTGTCCAGCGAGAAGGCCTCAGCTGGAACCCCAGCTCGAAGGGCGCTGGCCGTCGCCATGGCCTGGCAGAAATGGCGCGCCCAAGACCGCCCCGTGGCCATGACCTCCAGGCGCGGGCTGACGTAGCCAGAGGTGGGCAGCTCGTCGGCGACGCCGATCTCGACCGAGGACCAGGGCGCGGGCGCGGGCAGGCGGGAGTGCGCGGGCTCCTCGAACAGGTCGTTCACGGCTCTGGTGTCGAATCTCACGCGCGACCGCCCGCCCTCCTTTGCCGCGAAATAGATGCCCACGCTGGCCGCGCGCTCGTCGCGGACGGTGATCCAGCCGGCCTTGAGCATCTGCATGGCGAAGCTGGCGAAGCGCACCAGGTCTTTCACGGGAGCAGGATCGCTATGCGGTTGAATTGTGCAGGTAGTCGTGGATGAGCTCGCGCAAATCTCTGTGCGCATGAAATTGGAAATCTACCTCCAGCGTTGCAAAGCCAGTCAGGACAGCGCCTGCTCGCCGTCCGCTAGGCCGCCCACGCTGAGCCATAAGACCAAGTCAGGCTGGAAGCTGCGCCCAGGGTCGCTGCCAGCGTAACTCGGACGACTGCCGTCGAGCTCGCTGAGGGCTCGCGCAGCCGTGCAAGGTGGCGGCGGCATGGTCTTATAGATATCGGCAAGGATCTCGACGCATTGCCCCTGAGCAAAAGACTATCTGAGGCCAATTGGAGGATGGATTGTGCAACCGAACGTATCGTTGAGACACTCCACTGCCGAATTAACCTAAGATTGCCCATGCCGTTGGACGCGCGAACGTCGTCGCACTGAACGGCGCGCAGAAGCCTGAAAACAGAATTGATCCTCTTGAGGAAACGGCGGAGCAAGAGGCAGTGGCTCTCTGCTGATCGGCATCCCTGTATTCGGCGACTGGGCGGGAGACCCAGCCGCCTAGGCGTTCGACCTTTTCCGGCCCCCGCTCCGGCCGCAGCCGCGCCCTCCAACTGGGTTTTGGCGTGTGCTCTGGCGGCGGCCTCCTCGGCATTGGGCTTTCCCGTCGGGCGACTGCAGCAGACCAGCAGAGGCGTCGGCAAATGGCGGCGGCCGCTGTGCGTGCGAGCCTGACCGGCCTGCGACCTCCTCTCCTCGTTGAGCTTCGCGGACTCCTTCGCGATGGTGCTCTAGCGGTGGAGCTCTGACGCCACGAACTCCTCGAGGAGAGGGCAAAACATCAGCTGGCACCGCGTCTCGCCCACCCCCGAATGCAGAAACTCGTTCTGGAGGAGCCTGTGCTTGTAGCGGCGCCCCGCCAGCTGTGCGCGGCGAAACAGC